AATGAGTGTTATGCTCAAGGGGGAAAATGCATTTCCATCATATTTTAAAAACTTTCCATAGCAGTTTCCTCTTCCCACTCCCTCAGAAGCACTGTGGTTACAGCTCTACTTACAAGAAAGCAACACACATGGAACAAACATTCCCATGCATTTTCCCATCTGGACCCTGGATGGGGTCATTCTCTCTAGTGCAGACAAGTTGTCCATTCTTCATAAATTTGCGATATTCACTGCACAACTCCTGTGAGATACAGGAAAGAAGTTGGATGGATTGGATCAGATCCCAAAAAATAGTTGAAGAGTTTGGAGAGTTCTGTTTTGTTTTGTTTATTTCTTAAGTGGAGGTCAGCAATTGGCTTATTTTGGAAGCCTCTTAACCCTGGAGGTATGCATATTTTTGAGTACATGTTAAAAGCTGTGCTTCTTCAACCTAGAAATTATCACAATTGTATTTTTGAAGTTGTTGTTGTTGTTGTTGTTATGTGCCATCGAGTCAGCCCTGACTCATAGCAAACCCTACTTGGGTTTCCTAGGCAATATTACTATGGAAGTAGATTGCCCAACCTTCCTTCTGAGGAGTGGCTGGTGGGTTTGAACCACCAGCCTTCTGGTCAGCAGTCAAGTGCCTTAGTCACTATGACATACAAACTGTAGAAATGTTTCATGTAGCTTCTAGGAGTTTATCAGTCCTCTAAACATTATATGGATCGCCAGATACAAATATCCCTGATTTATTTGTTCAATAAGGTTTACTCACCTCAAATGAAGGTATATTCTCAGATTGTCTTTTGTTTCTTAATTCACCTTCCTTCTTTTTCTTTTCTTCTTCTTCTGCTTGGCTAAAAGAGTAATTTTAAAAGGGATGGGTAAGAACAATAGACTCTCCAGTCTGAAAATGATCTGAAATATTTAATAGTTATAGATAATACTTAAGAAGCTGTGGTAGCATTGTGCCTAAAGTATTGGACTGCCAACTAGAAGGTTGGTGGTTCAAACCCACCAGCCACTCCACAGAAGGAAGACTGGGCAGTCTACTTCCATAAAGATTTACCACCTTGGAAACCCAAAGGGGGTAATATTTATTAATTTATACTACATACTTAGTCTTGTGCACCTACTATTAACTCCTCACAACTGCATGTAGCAGAATCTTTTGTAATATCCCCACGTTAGAGATAAGAAAACTGATTCTAAAAAGAACACATATGTTTCCCAGGGCACACATACAATAAGTACACACTAAAGATTTAAATCTTACTCCAGAGGTGTTTTTTCTAAACTTCTAATGCCACTACAATTTGTCTAGTTTTAACTATGCCAGTGAATTCTCTACTCACATTATCCTTGACACCTATGGTAGGTCATTCCTCAAACCATATAAAGTTCTTCCTAGTATTGATCCAGAAACTGTTTTCCATAGCTTTTGTCCTTTGGCCTCATCTTCACTCATGGAAAGAGCCTAGAACTGTACTGTTTCCACATTTGAAACCAAAAACTACTTGGATATTTAAAAGACTGACTTTTCCCTTGCCTAAGTGTGTTCAAGTGTTACCAGTCCTCACAGAACATGGTTTTATATTTCTTCAATCATGAGCTTCCTCTAAATATTTTCATTATTGTATTTTCCTATTGGACTGACACTCTCATAACTGAACAAAGAAAAGAAATTTAAAAATTAAACCATTCCCATTTTTCCAGCTGCAAGACAACTGACTCACAAGAAGGCCTCACACATGGAGCAGGTATTGCCATTCATTTTCCCATCAGGGCCCTGGATGGGATCATTTTCTCTGGTGCAAGGAAGTTTCCCATTCCTCACAAAGTTGCGGTACTCCCTGCACAGCTCCTAACAAGATAGAGAAAAAAGTTGGACATATATATTATTCTTATTCAAATTGCAAGTTTGAAATGTCAACATTGGCAAGATCACAGACTACAGTCTTCAGTATGGATTAAACCTCAACATAAAGAATACAAAAGTCCTCACGACTAGAACAATAAGTAACATCGTGGTTAATGGAGAGAAGATTGAAATTGTCAAGGATTTCATTTAACTTGGATCCACTATCAATGCCCATGTAAGCAGCAGTCAAGAAATGAAACAATATATTTTAGTGGGCAAATCTGCTGCAAAAGACTTCTTTAAAGTGTTGAAAAGCAAGAAATGTCACTTTGAGGACTAAGGTGCACCTGATTCAAGCCAAAATGTTTCCAACTGCCTTACACACATGTGAAAGCTCAACAATGAATAAGGAAGACAGAAGAAGAATCTATGCTTTTGAATGTTGGCAAATATATATATATATATA